GCATGCTTGCATATGGAATTCCAGGCGATCTGGTGGATGAGTATGTGCGTATGAGTGAGACAGCATGTCCGATGTCAATGTACAAGTTCTGCCAGGCCGTGACCGAGGTGTTTGGCCCTGAGTACTTGAGGCAGCCAAGTGCCGCTGATACAGAGAGATTGTTGGCGACCAACGCAGCTAGAGACTTTCCAGGCATGCTTGGCAGCATAGATTATATGCACCGGGAGTGGAAGAACTGTCCATTTACATGGCAGGGCCAATACAAAGGGCATGTCAAAGCGTGCACTATCATTTTAGAAGCGGTGGCTTCGCAATATCTTTGGATATGACATTCTTTCTTCGGCATGGCAGGTTCTCACAATGATATCAACGTGCTGCAGCGTTCTCCAGTCTTTGCAAGGCTTGCAGACAGCCACTCCCCAGCTGTCAACTTTGAGATCAACAGCCACCAGTACAACAAGGGATACTATCTAGGTGATGATATATATCCTCAGTGGTCAATTTTTGTGAAGACAATCTCGAGCCCCCAAGGTGAGAAGAGAAAGAGATTTGCCTAAATGCAAGAGAATGCTACAAAGGATGTGGAACGTGCTTTTGGTGTGCTTCAGTCCCGATGGGATATCGTTTGAAACCCTGCACTGTCATGGGATGAAGGGAAGCTTTGGAAGGTGATGACTGTTTGTGTGATCATGCACAACATGATCGTCGAGGACGAGCGTGATGACAGGATCTTCGACCAAGGATTTGATTATCAAGGTGAAAATGTTGAGCCCCTGCACCAAGAACCGGACACGTTTGAACAGTTTGTCCAATTCCATTGTGAGCTGCATGATTGGCACACTCATTTGGATCTTCAAAATGACTTGGCTGAGCACGTGTGGAGTCACATTGGCAACCAATAGATGTAATGGTTCATTTTCAAGACAATTTCGATTTGGTTGTAAAACTATTTTATTAGAGACAATTTCGATTGGGTTGTAAAACTATTTTTATTTCCAGACAAATAATATTTTTGGACGTACAAACTTGTTTTGATATGAATATATGGGCATTTTTGGCCGTGGCGTGCAGAATGGGGCCGCGCGCTGGGCACACGGCCACCACATTTCAGAATAGGCCCGGGCACGATCCCATTGTCCTATCCAAATGGACCGAATCCGAACAAAGCGGATGTGCGTTTGAGGTCGCATGATGGAGTTGGCCTAAACTGCGCGTGTGGCACCACAGCGGGCGGCGGCACAAAAGTGACCCGGAAGACGGCAGAGGACTAGTACTACGTCGCCGTCGAGCACACAGGGGAGAGGGCGGAGTCCACTTAACTCAAGAACACTCACCGTGCCTAGCACGCTCTTCTTTTTTCCTTTTTTTTTCCTTAAGAATGTGCCTAGCACGCTTTTTTTCTTTCTTTCTGAGAATGTGCCTAGCACGCTCTTGGCAATTGGCACCTGCAACTCCAAGAAACGAGCCCTGTTTTACACCTAATTTTGTTTTCACGCTTCTTGCGCGCCCTTAAAAAGAAAATTCTTTCTTTCTTTATTGCAAAAACAGCCACAACGTTGTTTGTGCCGGTGAGACTGCACCTGTCGCTTTCTATCTATATATACATCTTCGAGTCGACCGTGTCAATTCGGTGCATCCTCTGCACCGGTGCACCACACACGCTTCCCAACGCGCACACACAGCATGTCTTACCATTCCGTTTTCCTTGTGCTCCTGCTCTGCCTTTCCCTCCCCCTCCACCTCACTGCCGCTGATGACCCTGATAACGTTTTGGATGTCTATTGCAATCTCACCAGGGACCCCTTTTCTGGCTTGTCCGACGTTGTGCTGAGCCATTTTTTCTCCTACGCCGATAACCCGCCACAGGTTCTGTCCCGCCCGTTCCTTCGTCCAAAAAGGCCGGATTTCTATGGTTCACCCGAGATGTGGATCATGGTCCACTTTGTGGAAAACAATCCTGGTGGCCAACTACAATCCACAAACCACAAGCGTGTCCAAACTTAGATCGGCACTCGTCAGTTTGATCGTAATGGTATGCGAGGGGAATCGGTTCTCCGGCCTCAATGCCAAGTTGAGGTCTCGATGGGAAAGGCCTAGTCCAGTGTACATGACTCGTCGCGAAGCAAACCTGGTGGTCCAGTGGGCAGCCATCTCCTACACCCTCTTATGGTGGGAGCAGTCCAATCGCTGACGGTGGGAAAAAAAGTACGAAAAGCAGCTCAGCCCCTGGCTAGCAAGCAATTTGGTGCTCTGTCTGCTGAGGCCTTACACGGGATTTAATTTACAGTGAGGGGATGAGTTGCTTATGATGTATGAATAAATGTCGTTTACATTGCAACTTTGGTGTAGTACATGTAGTAGTATTTTTTTTATTTAAGGTCCGTACATGTATTCGGTTATCAGGAAAGAAATACATCGTTGCACTTTGTTGTTTGTTTGAGCTAAAGGAGGTGTCTGCTTTTGTTTGTAAGGAGTAGTATAAATTTGCACCTATGCATGCAGAAGAAAAAGAGCAGAACAAAAAGAAAAAAAAATTTGTGGCATCAGAATCTGCCGGCCTCCTCCTCCCCCCCATCTCTCGCTCCCCCTCTCTCTGGCTCGGCTCATGGCATGGCGGCGGCGGCCATCTCCCGTCCCCTCGCCGGCCGCTGGAGTCAGCGGCTTCCCGCCCCCGGTTTGAGCGGCGGCCCCTTCCTTATCCACCATCACGCCGCCACTCAGCAGCGACTGGGAGGCCTCCACCTTGAGCTCACGCCGGCCCTGCTGCCGGTCGGCGGTGGCCGACCTCGACCTGCGCGGAAGGGAGACGGCCCGGGGACAGTCCAGGGTGCGTGGGCGAGGGGATGAGGCGCTGCGGACGACAGCGCGGTCGTGCCATCCCCACCCTCCCGTCGACTGCCGGCGGCGCCCGTGTCCGCTGTGCGTGCTCCCGTCCCCCGCTGCCGAGGGACGCGTCTTCCTGCTCCGGCGTGGGCTGTTGTAAGGGTCCCCAGGCATGGACGAATCCTCGCGGTCGAGCGCGCCGACAGCTCAACAATTTCACCATCGTCCGTCCGAGTACTTGGTATGCTGCTTCTATGAACTTGCATATACATCTTCGTCAATTTTATTTTACCTGGCTTAAGTCGTCATCAAACCAATTCTTCTTCTCATACAAAGATTTTCAAAACATGGGGCAGGTGATACTACTGTGTAATGTGGCTTAGGTCACCAAAGATTAGTGGCAGACTAGATCTATGGTAATTAAGAAAACATTAAAGGGCTTGAATATTTGACAAGGTATTTTGGAGAC